GAAGGAATGTTTACTACAGGATGTTATGGTGGTGCAGAATACATTTGTGATTAGTTTACAAATTTAGATCATCCATATTGAGTTTGAAGGGAGTACATACATTTTCTTTTATGAATACAGATATTGTTCTTATGTAATGTAAAAGAGAATTGGCATGACCTGGAAAAGATGTCATCAAGGTAGCATGTTTGCCTCAAGCTCTCTATGTATTTTCCAGCATTAATGGGGCCATCACAGAAGCGTAGGTTACCTTCGCAAAGAGCACTGACACAACCCCAGACCATGACAGACCCTGGCTTTTGGACTTGTTGCTGGTAAGAGTCTGGATAGTCCTTTTCGTCTTTCGTCCGGAGCACACGGCGTGCATTCCTTCCAAAAAAGACCTGAAATACTGATTCATCTGACCACTGTATGATGGTCCATCCCAGATGCCTCTGAGCCCAGAGCAGTCGACTGTGCTTCTGGACACTGTTGACATAGGGCTTCTTTTTGGCATAGCACAGTTTTGGCTGTATTTATGGATGTAACTACGTACTATAGTGCCTGACACATGTGTGCCAAAGCCATCCTGAGCCCATGTGGTTATGTCGTTTATAGAAGAGTGACGATTCTCGATGCGGTGCCGTTTGAGGGATCGAAGAGCTTAGGTTTGCACCCTTGCCCTTTACATGCTGAAATCTCTCTAGATTCCTTGAATCTTTTAATTATATTATGCACTGTAGAAGGTGACATATCCATATCCTTTCTATCTTTCTTTGGGGAACATTGTTTTTAAACATTTCAATAATATTCTCATGCATATGTTGGCAATCTGGCGGCCCTCGGCCCATCTTTGCTCCTAAAGGGCTCGGCCTTTCCTGGATGCCAGTGTTGTACCAAATCATGATTGCAGTCACCTGCTGACATCACCTGTTTCCAGTGGAATCATCATTTCATTGTTTTACCTCATCACTATCCCTGAAATGCAACCGCCCCGACTTTCTGATTTGGGGTTGATGTACAGTTTTCACAGTGATCAGTCCAACAGAAGAGCCAGGGACATGTGTACTTTCATACATCATGTTTACTGTACTAATCATTTTCTACAAGCACTGCCCTTTTCTAGCCTGGCTTGTTTACTCACGAATTGGCTGACCAAGCCATAATCGGCTCATAACATTTGTTTGCCTGGAGCCATACTGGGAGTAGTGCCCTATTCAAATATTTTCCTTTTTGATGTGATCTATAAATTCTTAGTAAATATTTAAAAATACAGACAAAGAGAGTGGCTTCCTAGTTTTGACATATTTATGTCAGTATTGGTGACTTTAAAATTAAGGGAAAGGACAGCATTCAGCTGCCAATAAAAGAAAGGTTCCACCACTGATTATGTGATTGAAAATTGGTGGGATTTGATTCTAGTAAATTATAATTAAAGCATTAATCAGTCCTTTCAGTGCCACACCACGGCCATTTCAAGAGGGAACCAAATCTGTTCCATTATAGACTTCAAAACTACCCTCCTGTCCAGTGCTGGGACACACATGGGTGGAGTGAATGGGGATGGATGGCTGGATTAGGAATGCTGGGAGCAAGTAGATTATCCAGTATCTGGGCAGACAGATGCGCAGAGGAGAAAACATCTACACAAAGAGCCAGATCTCCATCAGGGGATCAATTCATGGTGCTCGCTCTACCACTTCCTGAGAAAAAGCACATTTCATGGTTTGTTTTCAAGAGCCCAGCATCAGAACAACATGAAGAAGGCAGCCTCGCGTCTTTCCATTCTCCTTGTTTTCCATCTACTTTTCAACTCTTTCTACTTTACCCTCACTTTCACTGCATTTTTAGGCTCTGTGGTAAGATGTGCACATGCACACTTACACTTAAGACACACATGTTTGTTGTAACCTATATTTTCTGAGTACAATGAATGCCTATGTGTAAATTTTTTTAGGAGGTTTAGCCAGCGAGAACTGGAATGAGTGTTGCTGTTGGCTGAGTTTCGCAGCCCGGGGCCCCTTGCCTCAATTCCCCATTTTGCCCAGTAGAGCTTCATCCTTATCACTGTCCTGCACCCCAGCATTGCTGAAACTGGGCTCTTCTCCTGCTTGACCACATTTATCCAGGGGGCTCTTGTTGGGGGGTGATAAGCTGTCAGACTTACCAGCATGGATGTAGGGGTTCCCACTTCCCTTCCACTTCACTCTACTCTACTCTACTCCTCTTTACTCCTTCCACAGTAGTAGGGGCTGGTTTGTTGACAGTACCCTACTCAACAATATTCAGTGCATGCTTTTCTTCAGCACAACTGCCTTGACTATCACACTCTGCACAGTTTCCCCTCTTATCCCCTCTTTTTCTTCCCTCTTCATTTTTGTACTTCTGTATTAAAGAGGCAGAGAATGTTTTGAAGCAAAAACAACTTTGAAATGGTTAGTGTAATGGGCTCACAGGGACCTTAGACACAGACACTGTGAATGCTAAATCCAGCTACAGTTCACCAGATTTGTCTGTGTGAACTAATTTTACACAAGAGCCTCTAGACATCAAAGTCTGTCCCTTTCATCCACTGATGACACATGCTCGGAGTTTGTTTTGGCATATTTGTGCTGTTTTTGTGTTTCTGAACTTTGTATCCAGAACTTTTTGCACATAATTGTTAAAATAGCTGCTAGATTCATCTGTTGTCATTTTGCTACTTATGAAAGGGATTGTGATGCACACTAGCTTTTAGATTAGAGTTGGTTTGTAAATGTAAAACCTCTCCCAGGTCTTTGATGTTGTAGTGCAGTGAACTGAGTGTTCAGTGTGGGAGCAGTAGCCTTACAGTATTTACTGTATTTAGGTGTAAATGAGTACCGTTTAGTAGTTGCAACAGTGCTATGCCATTATAACAGCCGTTGTTATTTTCAAGGTTCTTGCTCTACACTCATGGTTTATGAAGGAGCTCAGCCATGACACAGGCTGTAACAAGCTGTCACTGTAGACCACTTACTATTTAGCACAAGCTGCGCCACATGCTCCATGTACTTTCAGGTCGTTCTCCACTAACTGCTTGCATCTAAGCTACTTGGTGCTTAGCTTTGCCAGCATCATTTAAATTTGGAGCCCAAGGTACCACACCAGGCTCTTTGAATGCAAAAGGAATAATCTCGGAGTATTACTACTCGACACAGAAGCTTTAGGCTACTGATTATAAAACCCCTTCTTACAGTCAAAGTATAGTCATGCATTAAGATAAATTTTATTTCTGTAACTTGTCTGGTACAGATTTGCTTTGTAATTTTGTAACTCAGCTAACCGGGGACTGTCGTACTCTAGTGTTATTTACTTTAGCTATGGTTAAACAGCCCAGAGAGAAGCAAGCAATGAGCTTGTTTGTCTGTCATCAGAAATGTGTATTGCCAACAGATGCTCCTGCTGGCGTCGTTGAGAAAATACAGATCTCTTTCCTCATGTGCAGGAAGCTTAATTATAGTTCCTGGTGTTGTTGCAATGTGTTATGAAGGGAAGGGAAGATAGCAAGAAGGAATAGGAGAATAGGTAGGTAGGAAACAAGTGTGAATTAAGGATATTAAATTGCACTGTGTATAAAAAATTATGGACTTGATCATGGGTTTCTTCAGAAGCTGTAATTAGGGCATTAAAGCCGTGGTGTGTGTACGAGACAGTCTGTTCATGCTGCCAGCTTGTGAGCTACCTGTTTTATGAACTTGGGAGTATAACGACCTTGGAGCTTTGTCAGAGAAATGTGGTTGTATCTTGATAAACAGTTTGCCTCACACCCAAAAACAGGCTCCTACAAAATCACGGCTCGATCTAGCTATCATGTAGAATCTAGCTGTTTAACCTATTAGAATGTTACGTTAGCATGGTGTACTGGTGGAGCTAAAGCTTTCCCACAGTTTTGAACATTAACACGTTAATTGGTTTGCGGTGGTTGCTAACAAGTTTGCTATTCCAGCATTGCCATGGGCACTGATGTGAATGAGTGACCATAATGGTTTATTATAAGGAACCTTTTTTCACTGCTGGGAATTTACAATAGTTATTTCCCCAGTGGAGTATATACCTGTTAGGATTAGTTGATTAATTGATGTCAATGAACAGAAAATTGTATGCTATTCTGATAATCATTAGTCATTTATTCAGCAAAAATGCCAAATATTTTCTGGTTCCAGCAACTCAGAAGGTGAGCTCTGATGATTTTATATTTTATGCAAATTGTCAATTTAAGTTTTTTAAGTTTTGGCCAAAAACGTCATTTTTGAATTGTCAGATGAGCTGACAGGAAAGAAAACCATTATTTGCTCTGCTAGTGAAGCAACACATGATCCACACAACACTTCTTACACTTTATTTTCTTTTGGATTGAGCTTGAAATGCAGTAGTCAAATTCTATTGTGGACTGTACTTGCTCAGCCCCATATAAACAAGTATTTGTACAAAAGAAGCTGTGATAGTTACTTTTAAAATGTAAAAATGAGCTGTCACTGCAGAGGGGATGAGTCAGGAAGCAAGAACCCTACAATTTCCCCACCAGAGTGCTCCTCTCTACTCTCTTGCCCTCCTTGCTGCATTGCCCCCGGTAATACCTAGCCCCCTTCTAGCTCCTTACTTTGGTAGGAGTGATGCAATCTTCATGCAAATGTCTTGCCTATACACCGCATCTCTACAAATATGAACCTTGTCTTAACTCAGCTACTGTTGCTCACCAGCTACCTGTTATTCTTGCCTGTTTGTTGGTTTATGCTGAGAGCCTCAGTCCAACACACCCTTTTCTAGAGTGTCTCCCCACTTCTCATCTCCTCCAAGATGTGATGCTCCAAGCAAAAGACCAAGCACAGTGGAATGAATTCTTCCCTGAAACCCAGAGTGAGGAGGTGAGGAAATAATTCAGCAGCAGCGTCAGCATCAACAGCGGTGGCAGCAGTGAGCGTGAGAGAGGCAGAGAGAGGGGGAGTGTGTGTGTGTGTGTGAGAGCTTGAGTGAGAGCGAGTTCCTATGCACTGTGCCTAGCGTAGCTGAGCTGTGCCGTTGCGTGGCAAGCTGTGTGTTCCCGTGCGCTATGGTGAGGCAGAGCTTACAGAAGGGAGAGATGTAGCTTCACTCGAAGCTCTAGCATCAGTGAAGCCCAGCACCTGGCCGGGGCGTCACAGAGCAGCATGTTAGAACGAGAGAGCCACTGCTGACACTAGTGTGACTGATGATGACAGCCCACGCGTGGGTTACCATGCGCCACAGTCGCGCCGCTCTAGGAGGAAACACAGCCATGTGAAAGTGACTTGGCTGCCAGCAACTCTTGGACATGTTTTCCAGGGCAAAGTCTGGATTTCTTTCAGTGTTTGAACTTCTTTTTTTTCTCTTGGTGCTGTCTGGCTGTCCTGAGCTCACCCATCAGGCACGGACTAAGGGAAGATGGAACAAGGGGGGTAAGTGATGATGGACAACTATGACTTTGCATTGTTCATTCATTTGTGAATTTGAGTTGTGAGTTTTTGCTGTGACAGGTACCTGGAAAGTTTTGAAATGATTGAATGGATACGTGCAGCTGATCTTGAGTGAGTCGGTATCAAAATTTTGGTTGACACATTCTCATCACAGACTGACCTTGTCTTGAGACATCTGAACTTGGATGTTTTGTAACACCGTATTCAAACATGTAATAGTGTAGTCATGCACATAATGTTCATAATGACACAGTTTTGCCCCTACCACTATGCCTCACTGTGGCATCTGAGAGGTGTTCGAAGGAAGTTGATTTTATATTTTTCATTTATTGTTTTTTAAACAAAAAAGAAAGTTGAGTTATGTCTGACTGGTTTTGAGTAACTTTTCAGTGCTTGCCAGTCAACAATTTTTGGTTTTTGGTGTTTTCACCACTATTACTATATTGCTCTTAGTGTACCTTTTACTGTTTTTAATGGTTTATTTTGAAACTCCTTCACCCTCTATACTCACACACACACACACACACACACACACACACAGAGACCCTTCCCTCTTGGTGTGGAGGACTGTGTTGCATGAGATCACATTTATATGTGCACCCTGGAATGTTTTGTTGACAAGACACGTGTCTCATAACCATGATTTTTTTGGTTTAAAGACTTCGATCGCCAGTTTTAGGAGAGGTGTTCGTAATTCATGTCAGCCTCTCCGTGGGAGTGGTCCTCTTGCTTTTCTTGTAGCATTTAATCCCCTTTGTCGGATTAAAGGAACCTCTAATCTTATTGCTAACACTCAGTGAGAAGCCTGAGAGATGCTTCCTGCAGTCTGTCGGCATTGTTAGCACTTGAGGCTCACAGTCAGTGGGATGTGTGCATCTTCAAAGAGCCTGCGTCGCCATCGTGATGCATTTAATGATTTCTTGCCCATTTGCTTTTGTTCTTGTTCTGCCTCACCCATTCATTACTCTACATTAAATAAAGAGTTAAATAAATCTCTTTTACATGCTCCACATATCGTGTCCATGCAGGTCTTACCAACATGCATCATTATCACCCAGAGTTTAACTTAATGACTTAGACCAAGCTCTGAGATTGATATTAAGCACTCTGCAGTACCAGATAGTAAACATTTTCTTATTTCATGATCAGTTTTTCTCTTACTTTAATCAGTTTGTATCTGTGTAAATTATTACAGTTTGCATATGAAATAGGTCATATGTCAGTCATTTCATTTTATAGATTAGTTTCTGTCTGCCAGTGATAGAAGGAACATTTGCAGACAGAACTAGAGAATACAGCTTCATTCTGCCCGAGCTTTACAAAAACAACACACATTATCAGCTCAGTTTTTGAATCAGTTGAAATGATGGGTAAAATGTGTTCAGGGTTGGAATTTGATGTGTTTTAGGTGCAAAGATGAGTAAGTAATCTGTAAACCAAGGCTAAAAGCAGATACAGTATGAAATCCCAGTTATCAATGGCCTCTGGTGAAATGGAGGCCAGTGACCTCCCACGGTGTAATTAGGCCATAAACTCCATCCCTAACTGTTCATTTGAACAAGTAATTCCACAGCCATGCTTGGAATTGTAACCTTGCTTGTTTAATTATGGTTTTGTGACACATTTTAGCCAGACTAATATTTTCCATAATTAAGACGAGATCTGTGCTGGGTTGACAAATGTGTATGGATGTCCTGTCTATAGAAGATTCTGGGTGGGAATAACTATTTAACATTTCATTTGTGCTGCCAGCATTGTGTCATTGGATTTCTCTCACCAACATTTAAATATCATTGATTATAAATTGCCATTTATTATTGCATTTAACATTATAATTTTCATACAGTGTGTAATTTGTCACTGCACTGTTGGTTAAATTATGAAGATTTTTCCTACCGTTACTATTTATTTAGCTAAGAACACACTGGAGCTGTGCATATGGAATGTGGCTTTATTTAAAGTGTTATACATTATGCAGCTGAGCTCCTTGTTATACATCTGCTGTACATATTTGACCGATGTACTTCAGATTATATGACTGGAAATTGCTTCTTCACAAAAACTGTATCTTGAATTCATGCCAGTCACAATCGATTCCATTAGGAACAAATGATCAGAACTCCCATAGAAATATTTTGAACCACGTCTCCAATCTAAATGTCATGCTATCACCATCCCTGACAATTTGAAGCACTACCTAAGCACAACAGCTGCTGCTCTATGTGAAGAAATACACTATAAACTTTTACTGCCGCTGTTTAAGCCTTCAGGTGATGAGTGCTTGATAGTAGAGTTGAGTTGGTCCATTATGTAAAGTGTGAATACAGTTATGTAGAAATGCTGTTGTATAAAACAAGGAGCTGAATTTCAGGTAATAGAAAAAAGAAAACACACATGCATCTGTAAGGTTACAGCATTTTCTTTTCCCATTGTCAAATGTTAAGCACTAATTTCATTCAGCATGGCTTAAACATCTGCAAAAGTTCAGGTCAGGTTTTTGTTGATAACTTATGTAAAATTAGGTCTTTGGGCAAAACATTTGTAGTAATTTTATTAGAATGTTTACAAGTGCAAGTTTGAATTCTCCTACATACTGTGAAGGTATTTCCACAATCACTACAGTCCTAGCATGCTGTGTGGCCACAGGTCAATATACTGTAAAGGTCTTTTCACACTGGAGGCAAAGTTTTTTATGAGTTTTGTTTAATTTTTGAACCAGTATTCTGTTAATGAGCCCTTGTACATCAATGAGGGAATATTTCTGAGAAAAGAGTCCCCCCCACCCCCCTTTTTTTTGGCCTCAAGGTCTTTTTCATCAGTGACAGGAACAGTGACTAGTCTCAATGCAGCTTGCTGGAATATTGCGACACTAGTTATATAAGCACATTGTGCACTGGCCAGCTAAACCTATCTGATTTATTTATGAAAGTGGTGTTCACTGTATACTTTACCTCAGACATATGGCCAGGTGCTATTCTAGGTTGATAGGGTTATTGTAATTGCCCGCCTGCCTCTTGGCAGCAGCAACAACTCCTCAAATTGTCCCATCGACATCCTGAAGTAGGTCCAGAAATGACCACAGTACAGTTTCAACCCCTGCACCAAGCAGTGAATAGTTCCAGATTGCTTTTTTTATCAGTACAGGATGCACTCAGGTCATCATCTCTTGATGGGGACTCTTGTAGCTCAACCTTTTAGAACTTCACATTCGATATTCATGTCGCATTTGGTGTGAATAAATGTGGTGCTTTTAAATCGCCTCAGAAGAAAATTGCTATTTTGTATTGTTTATTCATGTTGCTCCTGGTGTGAAGAGACCTTTAAGACCAACCAAACAAATGGAAAAGAAAAATGTAAAGGTGGAAGTTATATACACTGCACTTCACTTTGACTGTGAGCCACCCTTGCACAGCTTGATGTATGCGGACTGTGTGTAGTCAGTGGATCAACACCAGGACTACCAGCTGTGGTATGGTGAAGGTTGCAGTGGAGATTAAAGTGAACAGTAGAGATTAAAATGAACCTGGCAATAGCAGGGGGATCCAGTTGCATGTATTACTATCACACCAAGCTGCAATAAATGGAAATGTGAAGACAGAACCAAGTGCAAGAAGCATCATTGTGTTAGCACAGCAATGAAGACAAGCGGTGTATGGAGGAATCCAGGTGTAGAAACATGGTCATTCTTTGTTGCATTCTCAACGATTGAGTTACAAAACAGGAAGCTGCTTGGGGATTCAATGAAATAGTAATGGTACAGAGAAGTTGTAGAAATAGCACACACTTCTTTCTGCCACAGTTGAGTGTATCTGACAGCCTCAGATAGGAGTGAGAGTATCAGATTTACTGTAAAGGAATTACAGCAGCACATGAGTAGTGTAGCCTACCACAGATCAACAGCCCAAATGGCTTTTTTTTCATTATGTTTGCATGTACTGTACTGTACATCATAGCTGTGCAGTTAATGAGTGCTATTTGGGATGGCTCAGACCTCAAGAACGATTTACTCAGTTATCCAAACTGTGTGTTCATGAAAGCTTACTCACCATTTTCCTGTACAATCAGGGATTATTGCTAATGTTGTGTTCACTTTCAACCTCTAATAAAGTGGCAGATAATAGTGTTAAACTGTGTTGTTGCTCAGTCGAATTTGTTTAGTGATGATGTAGCGCTACTTAAAGTAACATCTCAGCAACGTGTTACTAATCTAATCAGTGCTTTAGCATCTTCTTCTTAGATTATAAGTGCATTATACATTTAGAGGCAAAATTGGTGTTGTATATCAGACCTTTATGTTAGCTCATGGGAAAATGACAGTCATTATATTGTTTAAACTTCATGTTTTGCATATTTTTTTTAACTTAAGCTCACTATTTTGTGAATATCTATGTTCCCCCAATCCCACTCATGCCCTGGCCCTAGTAGAAAGGCAGAACTGGCTGCGGGGAGGGAATAACGTACAAACTAATGGGGGAAAAATTAGGCAAGAGCCTGACAGAAAAAATTAAATCACTGTTATTACTTTCAATTAATATGTTTTGACTTGTGTCTTGGGGCAGGGAACACAGTAAGAGCTGTCACAGAGCAAAGGGAAAATCACTCCCAGTTTGTCTCTGTGATGTGTTGCTGACATACTGTGACTCCGTTTGCTTTTACTGGTGAGGACTGAGAATAGTTTTCAGCATCTCCCTGTATGCTAATTTTATCAGTTCAATTCTGCCAGACACTTGATTTTATTAACAAAATGTTTACAAGACACCAGCAAACATGCCTCTAATGAAGCAAGCTCAGAATTACTCAAACATGATGAAAAAGGCCAGAAATGCAGAAAATATGTCTGCTGTTCCTTGTTAAATCCAATTAGATTATTAAGCTTTGTGCCACTGCAAGTTGAGAAGAATCTGTTTTTCAAATGTACTTGCTTTAATTCTGTTCGCCTGCGCCTTGTTAGAAATAAATGGAATGTGTACAAGCTGAAAAGT